TGAATAAGGTAAAATAAAAATATTACTAAAAGTAAAGTAGAGAATAGAAAGGGACTTAAGATAAAAAGGCAATTGAAAGATTGTCTATCAATGAATACATTCAGGTTAGCTGTTATTCTTCCCTTAGGTGTCCCATTATATTCTGCTTTCCATATTTTATAATAGATACTTGGAGCCTTTTAATAAATAAGCGATGTATTTTTTCTAATTTAAAGCTTCTGAAGTTTCTCTTTGAATTTGATATTTTATTTCTCTGATAAAAGCAGCTTTAAATGACTCATGTTTTGTTTGAAGTCTGAAATATTAAGACATAGTTTCTTCAAACATTGCTTTTACTCATTCCTTGCTATTCTTTTTTATGTTGAATCTTCTCTTTATTTCATGTATTTTGTTATCCATTTCTTATTTCTATGGATCTATGCTCCATTTTAATTGCACTTGTGTGTGCATACATGTGTGAGTCTCTCTCTCTCTCTCTCTCTCTCTCTCTCTCTGTGTGTGTGTGTGTGTGCGCGCGTGTGTAAACCTCAGAAGTGCATGTTGAGACCAGAAGACAAGTTGAGGAAGTTAGTTCTCTCTCTCCATCATTTGTGTCCCAGGAAGTAAACTCGGGTCATTAGACTTGGTGGCAAATGGCTTTAGCTCAGCCACCTTGCTGTCCCTGATTAAATATTTTATTGTATCAGGATTTTTTTTTGTTTGCAAGACAGGATTTCACTGTGTAGCATTGACATCCTGGAACTCAATGGTGGCCTCGAACTTAGAGAGATCCACCTGCCTCTTCTTCCAGAGTGCTGGGATTAAAGATGTGCACCACATCACCTGGCTACAACAGGATTCTTAATTCTTTTGCTTACTTTACAGCCAAAACATGACTCAGTTGCGAATACTTACCTGATAATGGCATACACTTTGTCACTAGAATGTATTTTTATGCAGACAGGTACTGTAAAATGCTGAAACAAATCCATGAACCTATGACTTTAATGGGACTACCCATTTCTTAGGGGAGACTCATTGAAGCTCGTCAGATTCTTTTCTTGGAATATGTTAACCATTTCTAAACTAAAGCTCCTTAGTTGTAGTATTAAAAAGAATTTGAAAGGTATGAGTCTCCTTTTCCCTTGCCTTGAAGTTTTTGAACTAAAATTTCAGTTCAAAAAATGTATTCACTACAACTTTCATGGAAATAAAAACATCTTTTCTTCTTTTCAACACGGCAGCATGAGACATGCACAAGCAGCTTGATAAACCATGAGTGAAATATTAGTTACTATTGAATGGCTTCACAACAGTTTAAGTTTTGAAAGCAAGCAAGTTTGAAAACCATGTAATTTTAGGGTAGATTCATTAAGAAACATTATCAAGGGCTGGAGAAATGGCTTAGGGGTTAGAAGCAATGACTTCTCTTCCAGAGGTCCTGAGTTCAATTCCCAGAAACCACATGGTGGGTCACAACCATTTGTAATGGGGACCCAATTCCCTCTTCTGGTGAGTCTGAAGACAGCTACAGTGTACTCATGCATAAGATAAATAAATATTAAAAAAATGTTCTTTAAAAAATTATCAAACCTGTTCTCAAAGCTATTTGGTGCAGCTTTTTCTGTTCAGAAACACTGTATCCCTGAACTTTAAAATAATGAAAAAAAAGACCTTCACTAAAACTTTGCCACTGGTCAGCCACTGAGCTGACGTGCAGCAGGGCAGGGTAGACTATGACAGGGGTGAATGGACTTTCCCCTCTGCCCTCGGAAGGTTTCCTGGAATAAAATGTCTGAGATAAATTAGATGGGAGAAGATTGTGTAAATGTCCTTAACTACAGCCCAACATGATTCAGAAGCTTTTGGGCCCCACTCTTTCTAGGGGAAGTGAAATACATAAAATGTCAGAAAACAGCATGCTGGACTTTTCTCTTGTTGCTGGACTTTTTTGTTTTGCTTTTATTGTCAACCTTACACAAGTAAGGCTCATCTTCAAAGACAACTTCTTAACTGAAAAAAAGGCCTCCATCAGACAGGTCTGTGGGCAAATATGTAGGGAATTTTCTTGACTAATTATTGATGTGAGAAAGCCCAACAAATTGTGGGCAATGTGACCCCTGGGTAGGTAGTCCTTGGTCATATGAAAAAAACAAGCTGAGCCAACCATGGGGAGCAAGCAAGTAAACAGCATTCCTCCATGGTCTCTGTTATAATTCCTGCTTCCAGGTTCCTGCTTGCCAGGGTTACTGCCCTGATCTCCCTTCATGATAGACTATGAGCTGTGAGACAGTATAAATAAAACCCTTAAGTTGGTGTTCATCGTGATGTTTATCACAGCTTAGAAAACAAATTAGAACAAACAGTAAAAATCATTTAGGGAAAGTCACAGGCTTGAAGAATATACAATAAATGGGACAACATGTATTTGCTCTGCAAACTTGGTGGGCAATATGGTGTCCAATCTTTGAGAACACCCCACCTGAGGGCTGCCTCCATTACATCTGATGGAAATCTGACAGAAGGCTGAGGACAGAGGGACGCCTGTTACACTGTACATCTCTTCTTGCTCTTAATTGCTAAATCACAACCTGTATTTTTTTTTTAACAGCATCTGTTGTTTG